CACACACACACACACACACACACACACACATACATACACACATATACACGGACGTGGACGTACACGCAAATATAACATCACAGTGTTTTTTAATTGCATAAGCAAACCGTGGCTTCTATGATTACCAAGGCTGTTAAGCAGTTTGTAGTGATGCTACTGGGTTGCTTCCACACACTGGTCGCAGCTATGCCGGGTCTTCGATTCTGAACTGCATACGTTCAATGTATATGCTTTTCCTTCCGAGGGTATTCGAGCGTTCATTTACTTTCTCGCAGTACCACTCACTACGATGCGACGCTAACCGGTTCTCAGCAAAGTAAACCGTATGTCTTACCAAATTCTTTTTACTTTCTGACGTGGTCATAACGACATTCCACGCGCCACTCGTAAAACGAAAAGTCTGTTTACGGCAAAAAAGAAAACTCTCGAGCAAATTTTGTTTTGCCACTTCCTTCGCCGTGGCCAAAGCTCGCTCTTTTTGTTTTCAGTAATGATTACACTGTGCATTATCAAATCAATTACCTCAAAAAGACGAATAACATTGGGGTGATGAAGTTGCTCCATTGTCCTTATCTCAGATGCAAGTAATTTTTGTGCTTTTTGATCCATCTTGCTCTTTTCCATAATTTTCACTGCTACCTTTTCTAAAAGCAAACCGATATCAAATGGAAGTTTTAAATGTTTCAAAGAAAGTGCTTTTATGAAAAATTCGATAAGAAGCATTCATTATATTAAAAATAGTTTTGCTGAACGATAATTAAGTGTTATAAAGACTTATTAATTCCGCAGACCCGCTAGGACAATTGCCATAAGAATTTCATGTAAGTTGTAACTGAAATGCTCCCACATCTCAAATGCGGTTACGCCAGGCTCTTCGGTTGCCAGTTTCACATACTTAGTTAATACCTACGCCCGTTTGATGTATGCTGATAAGCATATTGAATATAGAATTGATTTTCCCACAAAATGGAATGTGAGGCGATGTTTTAAGCTAAGAACTGAATTTGGGTGTTTCTTTGGTTAAGAGCAGCATCTTTCCTGATGCTCGTTTTGCTTGATGTTTTCTTGACACTTTTTTTAGTTTCTTAGAAACTCAAAGTCAAAATTTTTAGTTTTTGGTTAAATTCAAATATTTTTGGTAATTTCCTTTATTTTAGCAATTCTCTAATTCGATGTGCTAGTACTCCTTTTGTGCGATGAATTTTCATTTTTGAGTGACCAAAGAAACACTTTAAAAAGGAGCAAACCATCGGTTAGGCAATGGACGCCAAGTTTAACTTTGGAGAAATTTCCAGCTCCAAGCTCTTTGCCCAGTCGATAGAAGCCAATTCGCCTTCCCAGTGCTACTTCCTGAAAGCTGCATTAAGTTATATGAAACATAAACCTATTTATATCCCAATCTTTTCAATTCGGTAAAATGGATCGAGAGAGGACCACTTTTTCACGAAACGCTTGAAACTTTTTTAAAACTCGACACAAAGCGAAATCGGATGACAAACTTTTTAAAAAACCTCATCTTGCTTTTTTTAGAGATTTCACAGTAGATTTTTAAAGATTTTTTCACGGAAGTTTTTTTGAGAGAAACAAACTAAGAAAATGAATAGATTCCAGTTCATCTTTTCAATAAAAAAAAGCACAAATTCAATCTTTTCACTGAAATTTGGTAAGATCTTGAAATATTTCAGACATCTTTAGCCACTGTAGTTTGGTCTAGTAGAAAAAAAGACATATCTAGGAAATAATTCTTGAAA